GAATTGGGTTGGGGAAGGAAATGGGCTAAGGTGGCTGGCCCAATACGTGTAGGGAGTGAAGGAAGGGAGTCTTGGTGGGCTGTGTGTGGTGAGTGGGCTGGGGTTTGGGTCAGGCCCGCAGGAGAGAGCTGCGGTTTGTTGGCCAGTGTCACGCCATCAGCGGGAGGTTTGGGGATGGATTCTTTGACCGGCGGGGAGGAAAGCTTTGAACGGGTCACCAGCGGTATGGAGCCGACAATAAATTCGTCCTCCTTAATTTGGCCACCTGGAAGCTCCAAAATTTCAGAACCGGGAGCAGATTTACTAGAGACCAAATCATTCGATTTCATGGTGGTGGCTTGGATGGTGGTCGAGATTGGGAGGCTCAACAGCGGGGGTTAATTTCGACCGGAATCGCCAGCGTCGGAGGGGGAATCGACGGCTAAGGACAAAATCGGATCTTCTGGTTTGTTCAAGAGGCCCAAAAGGGCTGTTCGAACCTCCGGTTGCGCGACGACTGAGACCAAGTCCAGCAAGGGGGTGGGCGGAGGGGGGGGTTAGAGGACATTGTATCTGACGGAAGAGAAGAGGGCGGAGGGCGACGGCCCGAGGTGGGCCGCCGGAGATGGCTGAGGGCGGCTAGAAGAGGGTGTTGGACGGTGGTGATAAGGTGGAAGGGGAGTATAATACCTCGTTTGAATAAGGATTTTTTTTTTATATTATTATTTATTATCTTTATTATTATTTATTATTATTTAATGCTTAATTGGGAACTATTTGTCTATTGCTTGATCTTTATAAATAAATATTAATGTTATTTTTATTAAATGTCTACATGCCTAATTGCTTTTAATTGTATAAATTGATTAAATTGTTATTATTATTATTATTATTATGTGTTTTAAATGTTGTCAATATAAATATTATAAATGTATATTATAAATATAGATTTGCCCGGTTATTATTTTATTAATCGTGCATTTTTAAACGAGCCCGAGAACGCATTATTATCTCGAGCCCGCACCTTAGCCGACCCGCGAGCCAGACCCGGTTTTCCCTTTTCTTCCGTGCGTGTGTGTGTGTGTTGTGCGTGCATCAGTGTGTGTGGCTGAATTTCTTGGAGATTTAAAAAAAAAAAAAAAGGAAAACCCTACCTTATGCTATATATATGTATATACATGGGAATATTTTCCCCTCAGCTCATCAATCTCAACGCAGCCTTTTATTTTGTTTTCCTCTGCTCCTCATCGCCAGTAGAAAAAGGAAGCGCACTCTATCTTTTTCCCATAATCCATCGTCACCATCATCCTTCAGTACAATCATCACCATCAAGTTCACCTATTTTATTTTCCCGCTATTTGCGTCCCGTCGGCGAGCCAAATGAAGTTGTCAAGTCCATTCGAGCAGCCCATCTCGATCTTCGGCTCGTTCCCAATCTGGTGTTAATCCCGAGAACGGTAACGGGACTCGTTTCCCCTCTCGTTCGTTCATGTGTTGTGTTTTGAGAATATAAATATATTATTGATATTAATTATTGTTATAATTTTATGTGAATTCCGTCGGTTCGTGCGAGTCGAACGAGAACTCGTTGAAAGTGTGAAGTTGCTGTGGGTTTAGGAACATAGGATCGTCATGGACACAATGGTTCTGACCTCGTGTCGTTTCGATTCGTAGATCGGAGATATAAATTTTTGAAGTCCTTAATTGCTGTTTTATGTGTAAAATTCACCATAAATCGCATGATTGTCCGATTGGCATGAAATTAGAATTGAGTGACCCTCCGTATATCGTATAGTCTGTGTAAAAATTTCATAATTTTTCATGGCCTGTAGCTATTTTAAATAATTAATGTAATTTCTAGACAGAAATATGTTAAATACATATTAAATTGGTCCGAGCTCCGATTTTGCTAAAATTTTAATATGTTATGAATCTGTCAGGTTTATATGCTGTGTAAATTGTTTATAATTTTTAGAATACGTTTCATAGGGTAAATGAATTATTTTCAGATTTTGCAGAAAACTGTTTTATTTATGATAAATCGGTTGGTTATTGAAAAATTCTGATATTTGGCTGAGATGATTGATTTATGTGGAGTGTCAAGATGTAAAAGGATTAGTAATTTTAGAGCTCAAATTGGTTCGGTTTTAATTAAAATTTGATAAACTGTTGAATCTTGTATAAATTTTCATAATTTGTGTATTCGATGTTAATTGCTGGAATTTGTATATGTTGATCCCTAATGGTTGAACTTGATCCGGTAAAAATATCATGTGTTAATTCGTTCGTTAGGTTAGGCTTTGAAATTTATGCTCGTTTTTGCTGATATCGTATTTGAATTTTATAAAATTGTGTATAATGAGTTTGGGGCTGAAACTTGGAGGTTTTACGAAGTTCGGTGTGGAGAAATTTATGTCTAAGTTTCATAACCTAACTCATTCGGGAGATTGATCAACCTAATTATGTGATATATCGTTTTCTATATTTCAAAAAAATGTAGTTGTTGTGTTAAAAACTATAAACCGGATTTTTTTGTTTTGGTTGTGACTTGTTTGAACTGCCTTTTATGTGATACTTGCGTGAAATCCCATGTTTGGTTGTTCGGGTCTAAGTCCTAGAGTTCCAAATATCCACAGGACTTCACGAACTACTTGGTTGAATCAAGTTCGACCAAGGGTACTTGTGATTGTTCTCTAAGGTCAAGTAGGTATTGATCTTAGTATATAATTGTTGTAGGTACTTAACGAGTCGTGCTCGCTGCCTACATCTGTTTGTGTGCCATTTTCTCCGTTGCTACACCAGGTGGGTTTTAATCTAAAATTTGCTATGTTATAATTGAGGTAAGATTTTTATACATTGTGTCCTATGAATGTATGTGTGAGTCATGAGACGGTGCCTAGTGGTGGGCGATCTCCAACCTTGTGATAGGTAGACTCATTTTAGCCTAGTCGATTGGCCGTGACCGTTGATGTTGAACCTCGGCACGACTGTACTTCCGCTGACGAGTTTGGGATTACCCCTAGCGGCTTTTGATAGGTGTGCACATGAGTATAGTGATGAGTAGGATGGTGGTGTGTGATGTCTTTTGACCATATACTTGCATATGACTCTCGTATAGGATTCTTACCAATATATTATGCTTAGTGGTGAGCACCTCGTTTATATTTGTACTCATCCCCACCTGCTCTTCATTGATGCAGGTTAAGCAACTATTTGGCATGACGAGACTGAAGACGAGTGGGTGGTCAAACATTATTATTGCTTTATATTGCCTCCGCTTGCTTTGATAATTATGTTGAGATTATCAGACTTTGTTATTCATCCATATTACTTTTGGGATTGGTTGAATTGTTGAACCATGTGGAATATTTTTATCAGTTTGGATTATGTTGACAATCCTATTGCTAGATATGTTGAAATCTAGTCTTGGAACATGAATTATGTTGAATATTCTCATTTCCTTATGCTGATTATGTGTTTAACTTTGGAAAGTTCTCAAGTAACGCCAAATGTTTTATGAATCGATAAATGGTTTTCAAAATTTTAAAACAAGATTTTTGGATAAGTTTGAAATTGTCTTTAAAAATCTTTGGGGCATTACAGTTTGATATCAGAGCCAGTCTGCGTTTCTGTAGACTGGTTTATATGTAATTAAGTGATTACGTGAATTGATCTTGTGTGTTGACCACTCGTCTTCGTCATGTCACACTGCTTAAGGTATGTTTTAAATAAGTATTGTTGTATATACTTGAGAAATGTAATGCTAATATTTGGGGTTAGGTTTTATCCTCCTTTAAAATGTGAACTCTAGGGTCGAACTCTAGACTTCTTTTATTTTGTGCTAAATCTTTACGTCTCATTTTTCAATGTAGAGAAATGGCTCGTCAAACCCGCAATAAATATCAGCAGCAACCACCTCCCCCGCCTCCTCCTCCTCCTCATCAGCATGCTCCGGGTAGAGATCCCATTACCTAAGTTGTGATCGATTTTCGTTAGGGGTGTTCACCGTCCGGATTGGTCCGGTTTTAGCCCAAACCATGACCAAACCGGACCTAACGGTTAATTTTTTTTCTTGTCCATAACCGGACCGGTTTTATTTTTTAACCGACCACAATCCGAACCGCATTGGACGGTCCGGTTTGGCGGTTAACCGGTTAAATCCAAAATTCTTGTTTTGGGCCTTCAATTTTATTTTTTTCATTTTGGGCTTAATTTTCATTTTTCAATTTTGAGCCCAAAAAAGATTTTTTGGGCCTAAAAATTAGGAAAAATAACAATAATGAAATTAAAAATATACAATTCGTCCTATAAGCATAAAAATACACATTTCGTCCCGTAAACATAAAAATATAAAAATGATGAAGATTAAATTATGCAAAAAAGCCAAAAAATGATAGTGAATTTATTGTATTTGTCGGTCATAGCACTACAAGAAAACACTTCAATTCCAACGAAAAATTCCAACGGAAAAATTTCCGTTGGAAATTCCAATGAATATTCCAACAAAATTAATTTTATGTTGGAAAAAGTGTTGGATGGTTGAGGAATTCCAACAGATTTTTTCCGTTGGAATAGCTGTAGGAATTTATTTCCATAGGATTTTCCGTTGGATTTTAGCTATTCCAACGGCCATTTTTCCTACGAATTTTTATACGTAGGAATATCCGTTGGAATACCTATTCCAACGGATATATAAAGAATTCCAACAGAAAATTTCCGTTGGAATGTAAGAGGTTTTTTTGTAGTGTAGTGAATGACTGAATGTATATATATATTTGTTATAGTTTTATAACATTTACCGGTCCGGTCCGGTTAAACTGACGGTTTGCCGCATGTAATCCGTTAACCGGACCGGTTATTCCGGATTTTTAAAAAAATTAACCACCGGATTTTTTAAGGCTTTTTAAACCGACCATTTAACCGATCCGCGGTCCGGATTGACGGTTTTTTCCGGTTAAAACCGGACCGTGAACACCCCTAATTTCCGTAACATGCATCCTCCGGCGTTCAGCAGAGTTGAGGGCCCCAAAGCTGTGGCTGAATGGCTTCAGCAGCTGGAGAGTATCTTTGATCTGTTGTTCACCACTGATGAGGTGAAAATCCGTTGTGCCTCGTTCGTGATGACCGGAGATGCTAGGACTTGGTGGAATGACTATTGGAGGCTTCATCCTCGTGCTGAGAGGGATGCATTGACTTGGGACCAGATGGTTACTATAGTCAAGGACAAGTATTACCGAGAGGCTCACCGTGCCCAGATGATGAAGGACTTTTGGGAGCTCAAGCAGGGACCCCGGCCCGTGGATGTCTACGAGCGCGACTTCACTCGTATGTGCGCATTTACTCCGATGCTCGTGGATACCGACCAGAAGAAGGCCTTTCGTTTCCGTGATGGTCTTCGCCCCGACCTTTGTTACACCCTGACTGGTCACGGAGCTCTGCCTTACTCCGAGATGGTTCACCGAGCCACTGAGTTAGAGGTTTGCCAGAATGCCCAGAGGGCGGCTGTCCCATCCTATCAGCAGACCCCTATGATTCAGCCTATCTCAGCTGTTGCGCCCGGTTCTAATTCGGGCAAGATGAAGGCCGACCATTTCCAGAATAAGAAGAAAGGCAAGAAAGGGAACTTCGGGAGGCGTGATGACCGACCCCCTCAGGGACAGCTTCCGAGGTGCCCTAACTGCGGCAAATTCCATGGGCTAGGAGAGTGCCGAGCAGCCGAAAGACACTTTTTAATTGCCACCGTGCCGGAAATTTTTCGCATATGTGCCCCGAGCCGAAGAGGCCACAACAGCAACCACCCTACCCTCAGCAGCAGCAGCAGCTTCCACCTCCACCCCATCAGCAGCAGCCCAGACAGCCCCCACCTTACTAGCAGAGAGCTGGGGGTCAGGCCCGCGTGTATACCATCACTCATGATGAGGCAGCCAACAACGCAGGTACTATGTCCGGAATGCTTTCGATATCCAACGTGCCTGTATATGCTTTATGTGATACCGGAGCTACTCATTCTTTTATTTCTACTCGTTGCTTGGAGGCTGTGTCCATTAGTAATGTGTGCCCTTGTGACCCTCTCGAGGTTAGTCTAGCCTCGGGAAAGATTATTATTTCCGATTCTTTGATTCCCAGTCTTCCAGTCAGTATTGGGGCGCACATTTTGGATGCCAGTGTTTATGTGATCGAAATGCGAGACTTTGATGTGATCTTGGGCATGGACTGGCTCAGCCGATATCGAGCCGACATCCGGTGCCAAGAGCGCGAAGTCACTCTCTTTCCCGTATCTGATCAGCCAGTTGAATTCTTTGGGGTGAAGTTGAGGATTGTGCCTCGAGTCATCTCTTCTATGCAAACTAGAAAGAGCCTTTCCAAGGGTAGCTGTCAAGGCTATCTTGTTTCTGTGGTGTCCGAGGATGATTCCGAGCGGACTCCGGAGCGAGTTTCTATTGTTTGCGAATTTCTTGATGTTTTTCCCGATGAGCTACCCGGAGGACCACCCGACCGCCAAGTGGAGTTCACCATTGACTTAGTACCGGGAGCTGGCCTCGTGTCTAAGGCCCCTTACCGTATGGCGCCAAAGGAGCTTCAAGAGCTTAAGGCCCAGATCCAAGAATTGCTCAAACTCGGTTTTATTCGACCGAGTGTTTCGTCGTGGGGTGCACCCGTCCTATTCGTGAAGAAGAAAGACGGATCCATGCGTATTTGTATTGACTATCAGGAGCTGAATACCCTTACGGTCAAGAACAAGTACCCCCTTCCTCGTATTGAGGATCTCTTCGACCAACTGAGAGGAGCCAGCGTCTTCTCAAAGATCGATTTGCGGTCTGGCTATCATCAGTTGAAGATCCGGGAGTCGGATATTTCTAAGACTGCCTTTCGTACCCGTTATGGCCACTATGAGTTCGTAGTCATGCCGTTCGGACTCAGCAATGCCCCGGCCGTGTTTATGGACCTTATGAATAGGGTCTTTCATCCCTTCCTGGACCAGTTTGTTATCGTGTTCATCGACGACATCTTGGTTTATTCTCGGAGCATCGACCAACACAAGGAGCATCGGAGGATTGTGCTGGAGACTCTTCGCCGTGAGAAGCTGTATGCTAAGTTCTCGAAGTGCGAGTTTTGGCTGGATCGTGTGGCATTCCTTGGCCACATTGTGACAGCGAGAGGCTTGGATCCCAGCAAGATCGAGGCAGTGAGCAAGTGGGATACGCCAAGAAGTGCCGCTGATGTTCGTAGTTTCCTAGGGTTAGCAGGATACTACCGGATGTTCATAGAGGGTTTCTCAAAGATAGCCCAGCCACTAACCAACCTTACGAAGAAGGCTGTGAGGTTCGATTGGAGTCCTAAGTGTGAGGAGAGTTTCCAAGAGTTGAAGACGAGACTCACTACCGCGCCCGTCCTATCCATACCCGACCCTACTTTGGAGTTCACGATCTATAGTGATGCTTCAAAGATGGGCTTGGGTTGTGTTCTCATGCAGCAAGGGAGAGTCGTAGCCTATGCTTCGAGGCAGCTGAAGCCTCACGAGCAGAACTACCCCACTCATGATCTGGAGTTAGCTGCAGTTGTCCAAGCCTTGAAGATTTGGCGGCACTACCTCTATGGAGGCAAGTGTGAGATCTTTACCGACCACAAGAGCCTGAAGTACATTTTCACTCAGAAGGAGCTGAACATGAGGCAGCGTAGATGGTTGGAGCTGGTCAAGGACTACGCCTGCACAATTAGCTATCACCCTGGGAAAGCTAATGTGGTAGCCGATGCCCTTAGTCGGAGGAGTTATGGCCAGCTATCTTGTCTGTTTACCGGGCAGGATGTCCTTCTTCGGGAGTTCGAGCGATTGCAGTTAGAGGCAGTGGAGTCGACTTCGATAGCCGGGGGCGTGTTTACCTCTTTGGTTGTGGGACCGACTCTTCGAGAGAGGATAGTCGCCGAGCAACCGAATGACCATTTCTTATGCCGGATGAGAGAGTTGTCGGAAGCTGGTGGAGTTGATGGATTCGCAGTCGCATCCGATGGGGCCTTGGTCTTCGAGGGTAGGCTTTGTGTTCCGAAGGTGTGGGAACTGCGAAGGGAGATTTTGAGAGAGGCCCATAGTGCCCCGTACACCATCCATCCTGGTAGCACGAAGATGTATATGGACTTGAGGAGATCTTTATAGTGGCGAGGCATGAAGAGGCAAGTAGCGAAGTTCGTGGATGGGTGTCTGGTGTGTCAGCAAGTGAAGGCTGAGCGCCAGAAACCGAGAGGGTTGTTGCAGCCCCTTGAGGTTCCCCTGTGGAAGTGGGAGTGCATCGCCATGGATTTTTTAGTGGGACTGCCGAAGTCGAGGGGTGGGTATGATTCGATTTGGGTGATAGTGGATCGCCTTACGAAGTCTGCCCATTTTCGGCCAGTCCGGACGACCATGAAGGCGAGTGATTACGTCGAATTGTTCGTCAAGGACATTGTTAAGCTTCATGGGTGCCTGTGGAGATTGTTTCGGATCGAGATGCCAAGTTCACATCCCAGTTCTGGAGGACGTTGCACCGAGCCATGGGGACGAGGTTGGAGTTCAGTACAGCCTTTCACCCCTAGACAGATGGTCAGTCGGAGCGTGTGATCCAGTACTTGGAGGACATTTTGAGGGTTGTGGTCTTGGACCGAAGCCTGACTTGGGAGTATGCCCTTCCGCTAGTCGAGCTGACCTACAACAACAGCTACCACTCTTCAATCAAGATGGTCCCGTACGAGGCTTTGTATGGACGTAAGGTCCGGACTCCTTTGTATTGGGATGAGGTTGGAGAGAGGAGGATTACGGGTCCGGATTTTTTTGAGAGTGCTGCAGTGACAGTTGAGGAGATCCGAAAGACTATTAGGTCTGCCCAGGAAAGGCAGAAGGTCTATGCCGACCGGGAGAGGCAAGAGCATGTTTATGCAGTGGGAGATCATGTTTTCTTGAAGGTTTCATCCATGAGAGGTGTGATTCGCTTCGGGAAGAAGGGAAAGCTTAGACCTCGCTATATCGGGCCGTTCGAGATCCTTGATCGAGTCGGGAACTTAGCGTATCGGCTGGCTTTACCACCAGACTTGTCGGGTGTGCACGACGTGTTTCATGTCTCGATGCTTCGGAGGTATGTGCATGATCCTGATCATGTGGTGGACTTCGGCGAGCTGCAGGTCGAGCGAGACCTCACCTACGAGGAGGTGCCGGTAGCCATTTTGGACCGGAAGGTCCATCAGCTGAGGAACCGGGTAGTGAGCTTAGTGAAGGTGCAGTGGAGCCGACACGATGAGACCGAGTCAACTTGGGAAAAGGAGGCCGAGCTTCGGAGGCGATATCCGAACTTTGAGTTTTGAGTTCCCTTTGTATTTTATTGCTTTCTAGTTTTGTTTTCGAATCCCAAGGACGAAATTCTTTGTAAGGTGGATAGACTGTAATACCCCGTTTGAATAAGGATTTTTTTTGATATTATTATTTATTATCTTTATTATCTTTATTATAATTTGTTATTATTTAATGCTTAATTGGGAACTATTTGTCTATTTGCTTGATCTTTATAAATAAATGTTAATGTTATTTTTATTAAATGTCTAGATGCCTAATTGCTATTAATTGTATAAATTGATTAAATTGTTATTATTATTATTATTATTATTATTATTATTATTATTATTATTATTATTATTATTATTATTATTATTATTATGTGTTTTAAATGTTGTCAATATAAATATTATAAATGTATATTATAAATATAGATTTGCCCGGTTATTATTTTATTAATCGTGCATTTTTAAACGAGCCCGAGAACGCATTATTATCTCGAGCCTGCACCTTAGCCGACCCGCGAGCCAGACCCGGTTTTCCCTTTTCTTCCGTGCGTGTGTGTGTTGTGCGTGCATCAGTGTGTGTGGCTGAATTTCTTGGAGATTTAAAAAAAAAAAAAAAGGAAAACCCTACCTTATGCTATATATATGTATATACATGGGAATATTTTCCCCTCAGCTCATCAATCTCAACGCAGCCTTTTATTTTGTTTTCCTCTGCTCCTCATCGCCAGTATAAAAAGGAAGAGCACTCCATCTTTTTCTCATAATCCATCGTCACCATCATCCTTCAGTACCATCATCACCATCAAGTTCACCTATTTTATTTTCCCGATATTTGCGTCCCGTTGGCGAGCCAAATGAAATTGTCAAGTCCATTCGAGCAGCCCATCTCGATCTTCGGCTTGTTCCTAATTTGGTGTTAATCCCGAGAACGGTAACGGGACTCGTTTCCCCTCTCGTTCGTTCATGTGTTGTGTTTTGAGAATATAAATATATTATTGATATTAATTATTGTTATGATTTTATGTGAATTTCGTCGGTTCGTGCGAATCGAATGAGAACTCGTTGAAAGTGTGAAGTTGTTGTGAGTTTAGGAACTTAGGATCGTCATGGACACAATGGTCCTGACCTCGTGTCGTTTCGATTTGTAGATCGGGAGATATGAATTTTTGAAGTCCTTAATTGTTGTTTTATGTGTAAAATTCACCTTAAATCGCATGATTGTCCGATTGGCATGAAATTTGAAATGAGTGACCCTCCGTATATCGTATAGTTTGTGTAAAAATTTCAAAATTTTTCATGGCCTGTAGCTATTTTAAATAATTAATGTAATTTCTAGACAGAAATATGTTAAATACATATTAAATTTGTCCGAGCTCCGATTTTGCTAAAATTTTAATATCTTATGAATCTGCCATGTTTATATGCTGTGTAAATT